AGAGTAAATTTATCAATCAGACATTTATTTTGAGCGTTTGAATTAGCACATTATAAGCATATAATGAATTTTGTAATCAATGAAAAAAAAATAGAATTTAATCGCTCGAAAAATAGTAAGATATTATCCTTGCACGTCAATTTAGACTCTGGACATTTTTGTTGAACTTGTAATTCATTTATTCGCTAAAAGCATACAGTTTGATGCCAATCTTACTGAAACATTTGAAATCTATAAGAAAAGCATATTATTTTGAAGCAAGTTATTTAAAGTTTCTTGTAATTAAGTAAATCAAATGTTAATATTCATATGCACGTTTTGAAATGTTTGCTATACAGATTCTCTTTCCGTAAAAATCATCACTTTCTTTTTCTTGCCCACACTGAATGCAAAACCTTTAACGACTTCCATAAACAAGATAGATGGCTCTTGTTTTGTGAGAAAAATGAGAACTGTAGAATCACTTTTGAACGCACCCCATATTCCAAAGTCGTTAACAATTCGTGTTGTTACATACCTTTCACAGAAGTGGCTTCTTCAAGAAAAATGCAGGCCAGAAAAACTTAAATGCGTTATCTCAAATAATATTTCCTTTTTAACCTTTTTGCCTCTACCTATATAAAATCTTGTATCAAAATCTTTATTTGTAGTGATTTAATTTTTACTGAAGGCAAATACATGTATGTAACATCTGCCATGGCTGTTCTTAAATGATTTGATTGGTTATTTATCTGTTATCGTGCCGATGATTGTGTCATTACCAGGCAATTTTTCATAAATTTACCTTAAAAAATCAATTTTGGATTAAGGAAACGAGAACATTTGTTTCAAATCTGTGAATACATCAATAATTATGCATTGAAAAACATTCCGTTTTATAAATATTGGCGTAATGTTGGCCTAAGGGTTCTCTTAATTAACATAATTTATTGTCTAGTCACGGTGCACAGAGGATAAGTACAGCGGCTACATTGTTCAAGGATGTGTTTATCATCAGCAATCATTTGAAATTCAGTTGAACTTCGGTATTCCGAACACCGATATCTCGAATACCAAGGATATGTCAAAGTGATTTGTAAGTCCCAACCATTTTTTCTTTATGCATTTAACCCTCGAAATCTCGAATGCTTGGATATCTCGAAGTTTTACCTTAGTTCCATCGAGTTTGATATAACGAAGTTTGACTGTATTTGATTTCGAATGCTTTGTCCAATCTTTTTATTTTTAATACCATATGCATGAAGATTATTCATTGTTTGTTTGAACATTTTACTTAATCGTTCAAATTAGTCACATAGGTGACCATTTGCCATCAGTAGGTATCCTTCTTGCCCAAGACTATTTGCCAATCCCATTTAAAAAAAAAAAATCCTTTCTGGGCTACGAAAAATTCATCAACATGTATTTTCCATCAGATTATTAAGTCAGTCCTATGGGAACTAATTAATAAACAAATAATTGAAACAAAACAGGATCACTTAAAAAAAATGATTGCCACAAACAAGTAGTTGCATTTTTTTTTTTAATAATTCTAAACCGGAAACTGAATTGCATGCACTGGAATTAAAGCATAGAATACTAGCAGAAAAAAGGAAGGGTTTGCAAATCCAATGAATATCGTTGAATTTTAACTCTCGGATTCATCAACTTGGGTCTCTTTACATATTTACCATTTTTATACATGTATTCCGGATGTGATAAAAGTCCGCACTAGAGATCTAGCGATAGAGTACTTGACGTCAGAAGCAAGCAAAGTGACCAATTAGCCGAAATACAAGAGCCATAAGTTTATACATATATTTCTGTTTTATTAAACAAAGAGGACAGGTGCCTGTATTGCTTGCAGCAGGAATTCTGGCTTAATATGTTCCAGTATGTATTTATACCTAGTAATAGCGAACTGAAAATATAAGGAGTACTAGTATTTAAATTAAATCATTGCTTATATGCTATTTTAATTATCATCATAAATTCGTGAACCTAAAAAAAACGATATTTATATTAAAAAAAAAAAAAAAAAAACATGTACATGTAGTTAAAGTAACTAATGAGGTTTATTGAAGTATTTCTAATTTCTTGTACAAAAATTTTTACAAAATGAAACACCAAAAAGATGGTTTTATTTTCTTCAAAAGCATATGAAATAAGGTATATGACATAAAGAAAAATGGCTGGAAATAGAATATATCTACAAGAGAGAATTTATATGTACTGTTTCTAAACTGATGGACTTTAGAAAACGCAATGCTTGATAATTTTTGTATTGTAGATTTATGCATAGATTTAATAAACAAATAATTTTTGGTATATAATCTACCATGTTAATTGTCCAATGTTCTTTGATTTTTAACATCATTTTATGCACAAAAAGGTTACAATTGAAAAGAATGTCAAAGAGGGGTGCGTCAAAAATGTGGTTTTGGTCCTACTTCCGGGTATGGCCTCCATTTGGATTTGTGACGGCGCGAAGACGACGTGACATTGACTGGCAGACACTTCGAATAGTCTTTTGAGGAATATTCTGCAACTCTTCCAACAAGGCTCTCCCAAGTTCTTTGCGGATACTGAGGCTGAGGGCTGTGTACACGTCTCCCCAGCTTGTCCCACAAATGCTCGATCGGATTTAAGTCTGGGGACATAGCGGGCCAATCAAGGACGTTAATGTTGTTCGTTTGAAGGAAATTTTGTGTCAACCTTGCCGTATGCACTTGCGCATTGTCCTGTTGAAAAATTAACCTGTTGCCTTGTCTACACTGCAGTAATAGTGCTAAAACAGGCTGAAGAATTTCGTCCACGTACCTCTTGGAAGTGAGGGTTCCGTTCAAAATGACCAGTTGTGAGGGAAAATGGTAGTTAATCGCACCCCAGACCATGACGCTATCCTCTCCAAATCTGTCAGGTTCAAGAACCCAGTTGTCTACAAAATTCGACATCTGCCGTCTGTATTGCTAACATTAAATCTAAATTCATCGGAAAGACAACCTGTGTCCAATTCTGGCGTTGATTCAGATTTTGCCTGGCTCATTGCAATCTGTAACGACAGTGATGCAGTTCAAGTTATAGCCCTTTGTAAGGTCTTCTGCGGCGGATCCCATGGCGTTTTAATACTTTAGTAACTGTTCTAGGATGGATAGGCCTCCCATGGCGTCCAGTAATCAGGTTGGGCACAATTCTCCTTTTCAGTAATTGTTACGCTAAAAGGGAATTCTCATTATATTTTTAAAATAATGCAAGAAATCTGTTTATCCAATAAAAAGTGCTTGAAAAATATTATATGAAGTGCTAAACTTTATTTAGCCAACCTCGCTGACAAAAATTTTCATGCTGCAGACGAAAGCATGATGAGATTTAATCGGACGACATCGTGAGTATTATTGCAACGGGTGTGAATATTTCCCTTAAATGTATGTTATTATTTGTTCAAAAACAAAAAAATTTCAGAGCTTGGCTTCATGGAAGTGAATCTTTTGTATATGCATTGGAATTTAAACTCACATGCAGCAGTAATCCGTGACTTTTACTTTAATTTTACCGGTTGATAACCTTACGTCGCGGGTTCGAATCCCACTGTGGAACAGGTCCTTCGGATGAGACTGTATAAACCGAGGTCCCGTGTCGTCGTAGGTGCTGGCACGAAAAAGATCCCTCACTGCTCAATGGCCCTGAGTGCCGAGCATAGGTCAAATTTGCAGCTCTCCACCGGCAAGTGGTGGCGTCTCCATATGACTGAAAAATTCTCGAGAGGAACGTTAAACAACAACCAAAAAAAAAAACGGTTGATAAATGATACGAAAAGTATGGAATCTTATAAGGGCATTCATTCTAAAACCATCGTTGTATGACTATCTTGTAAAATTTAATATTTCAGATAGTTATTTTCATCAATGCGAGAGGGGAAAATCCCGAATTTTCTCTTCATATTACATGTAACGGTATGTTCTGTGTATAACAAGATAACTCTAACTAGCAGATTCTAATGGTTGAAGATTAACATTTAACATGCGACCTAGACAACAACCAAATTTCACAATATTTTTATTATAAAGCCTGGAATTTTTATTTAATGCAGCACATTTGTAAAGTTATCAAGAAATCTATATCGTAGAAATATTTCATCACTCTTTTTCGGCTTTTTGCAGCAATAAATATTGTAGTTTTAAGTACATACATACTTAACAGACTATAAATATTTAGAGGATGTGAAAATTTTCTTGCAGTTAATCTTTTACTCAAAGCAAACACAAGAATAGAGGGTAAACGAGTGAAAATTCCCGTATACAGTAATGTTTTTTTATTATTGAAAAGAGGATTTCCTTTTATCGTAACAATTACTGAAAAGGGGAATTGTGCCCAACATGATAATTTCCCTCGCCGTTGTAGCAGCGGCCGTATACCATTCTCGCAAATGACGTTTGCCGTATGTACGCTTGTTGACGTCGTGTTGTCACAAACGGTTGACCTGGTCTTGGACGATCATTTATTGATCCTGGCTGATGAAACCGATGCAGCAACCGGCTTTTTGTACAGGGACGAACATTAAAACGACTGCTACCTCCCGCTTACTAACGCCTGCTTGCAGCAAACCGATTGCTCGCTTTCGTATTTCATTATTTAAACGTGGCTAATTTCTTCTGTTAGTGGTGCCTATGCTATCACCAACAAAGTTGTTTTATAACGAAACAACGAAACTCTTTTTTTTTTATCGTTTCATGTGCTTTGAAAAGAGTCCTGAAAGTTTCGTGCAATACTACCCATATCGTGCTAAAAATGAACGCAGGTAAGTCATGTGATGGATTTGAAAAATTAACACAATGTTGGGTGAAGTTTGCAATAAAAGTTTTAAATATGTTTTGAAAAATGATTATAAGGAAAAAAACGTGCGTTGCGTTTTTCAAGTCCCGTCAGTATATGTAGGTGAGCTAAATCCTTACCGACTTCAATATAAAACGAGAAAGTAAATAAGATTTAAAACAGATTCGACTTTGTGCACTCTTTGAATCATTTGCTTCTTAAACCATAGTAAGAGAAATGTTTTTCATCACTTTTTTAATTATCTCATATTTATCATCAGTGGAAGCCCATTCCGTAGTGACAGATAAAGTAATGGACAAGACAATTTTAAAATTTTTGTTGAATCAGGATATTTTAATGAAATTAATTCTTACCGGGAATACCGATGGCTCCCAGCAATCTCTTGCATTACATGAAGCTCTGGAAGAAAAAGAAATGGCAAATGAAACAAACACTCTGTTGAAAGAAATATTAAACCTTGTTATAAGCCTTAGAAATGAACAGTCCGAAAGCAGAGGTGTTTTTCAAAACGGCCTGGCAAAACTTAAAGAAACTGTTTTAATCCAGTCAGAAGAAACGAGAAAACTACGAGAAAGACTTGAGCTTACAGTTATCACGACTCCTTTGCCTGTGAGAGATATAAAAAACTCGAGTGAAGATTCAGGATCTGTTGGTAAGTAGACTTCAGAATATTCTTTGAAGAAAATAAAAATACATGTACTAATGTGTGTATTGAACATTTTATTGACAAAAAGTCAAAGGAATTAGAAACAAGTTCAGAATCTTAGTCTTCTTTATACTTGTTTATAACAAATAAATCAGTAATCCCGAACATTGACAATAAGCTTTCCTTAAAATTTGCATTTGATAAAAAAAATTATATAAATCTAGATTTTTTTTTAGATAACGTGCAAATTAGCTTAGAAAAGCTTTAATAACCTTGAAAAATTCGGCATTTTGTACATTAGAGACGGAATCATTCCGAATCAACCATCCATAGCATCAAAAGTACAGTGTAACGTACAGTTTTTTTTGATTGATAAATATTGTAAATATTGCGAAAGCAAGGTGACAATAAATCTCATTCCTCTGTCAGTCTGTCTCTCTGTCATAAAAACTTTAACCTTAACTTTAACATATTTTTTTAAATAGGAAAAGGACATTCATATTTCACATGTAGATCATCTATGACAAAATCTTTCCAAATATTTTGATTTTTGACCCCGTAACCTTGAAATTAGACCTACTTTTCAAAAAAATTAACATTAGTCATTGTTAGTGGTTACTTTTCAATTAGAAAAGACATGGCTTTCATATTTGACATGTGGAGGACCGGTGGTAAGACAAACTATGATTTTTTTTACCTGTGACCATGACCTTGAATTCTTACATACTTTTCAAAAATATTAACATTGGTGATAACTTTTGAGTCGGAGAAGATTACAGTTTTCGTATTTGACATGTGCACTACCTGTTACAACGCCTTTTACTACGTTTTTTTTTTTTTTTTTTGGGGGGGGGGGGTGTCTCGTGACCTTAACCGTGAAGTTTAACCTACAGTAATTTTCATTTTTTTAAACAGTGTTCATATTTATTAAATGAGGAAATATGGGGCTTTCATATTTCATCATCATTTTTGATTCAATACCTTGACCTAGAGGTATGCCCTACTAGGGTACTTAATATGATAAGTTTTAACTTTGGCCGTAACTTTCGCTCTAAAAGAGAACAGGGCTTTTCATATTTTTTGATTTTTTTTTTTTTTTTTTTTTTTTTTTTTTACATGAGAATTACTTTTGACAAGACCTTTTGGATTATATTATGTTATTTGATCTCAGGACCCGAACCTTGAGGTTTGTTTGATGTAGTTTAAGAAACTTAAATCTTGGCCATAACTTTATTAATTAATCTTTTTAATATGATTGACAGACAAGACATGACATACATTGTACATACAAGACACTTACAATATGCCATAAATACAACTGCATCACAACCACTAAGACAACGATATATTTGTTTTGCTTTGGTTTGTGTCTCATTTATCAAACATCTGGATTTCTTCGAATCAATACCCAGATTTAAAGAATATTTACAAAAATAATATCGAACATAAAATCTCATCCCTTGTACGTAGCTGCCATATATCGGTATCAATAGATGAATTAATATAAAATATTTTTTTTTACTGTATTGATATAGGAGAGATTCAACAGACACCTATTGCTTTCACGGCTCTCTTGAGTGGTAAAGACATTAAATACGACGCTGGTGACACAGTTATCTACAATTCTATAAAAGTCAACAAAGGGAATAATTATGACGGAAGCACTGGGATTTTTACAGCCCCGGCTGCCGGTGTTTATTTTTTCACCTGGAGCACCTTGACCTCACCAAGTGTAGGACTGAATACAGCAATTGTGAAAAACAAATCATCGGGTTACCTTGCATTCTGCTACTGTTCCGCGTTTCAAAACACATACACTATGTGTTCTCAATCAACAACCGTGGAATTGGTGCCCGGAGACAGGATATGGATTGTTGCATACGCAATGTCGGCACAGAAACTTCATGGAGGAGTTTGGCCTGCGTTTTCGGGATTTAAGTTGTAGACTATTTTTCACTATTTGAACGAAAACTCAAATAAATTTACATTTTTTTTAATTCACAATGTCAGATCTATTGTATATTGTGTTATAGGAAGTAGAATTCGAGTAAATTATGTGTAGCAAATTGTACTCCTGGCACGCCAGGTAAGAATGAAAGGAAAACCTTCGTGAAAAACTTTATCCCGATTTTAAAATATTGTCTGTAACTTAACATATGGTATGATTGGGACTCTGACAAAGCTACATAATATCAATAAATTTGGTGTTAGTGTGATTGTTGAAACCTGACACTGTTTAAAATCACAGGTTATACTTATTTTAATATACTCAGAACATGACATCTTGCGTATTGCATTTTTCAACTGCGAATTTGTCCCAAAGTTGTGATCACTGTATTCTTAAGCTCAGAATCAGGAAATATAGAGAAATGAGCGCAGCATGAATATCTCGCCTTACCGAGTGTGGCATTCTGCGTAAGCATGTTTTTAAAAGTGCATTTGTATCTAAAAAAAGAAGTAATCAATTGATAAAACCTTGAATTTGCATTTTTAATGTGATGAATCTGATTATGTTAGAGAATAGCTGCAGAACTGTAGCTTATGGTTTTATATTTTAGTCTTTGTCCATAACGCTACAGATTCCGTAATGCATATATTGTGCAATTCACGGCGCAAGATTTTCTGCGCACTTTGGGGATGTATTTCGCCACTTTCCAGCATTGGTCAATCAACGACTTTTCGTTGCAAGTTTGGTCAATACTTGTAAATTAAACTTGCTCCAAAAACTTTAACCTGCTCCAAAACCAACAACCTGGTTATTCTTTAGCTGAAATTGCGGCATCTGAAACCTTGACTCCTAGTACATGTATACTTGAAGCATCTCCCATGCATCTTTAACCTGGGAAGCCAATGCCAAGGTTTATTGCATAAGCTCCCCCCAACTTTGAGGTGAGCTAAAAGTCTTCTCATCAACAACAAGGCCATGATTAGTGATATTAATAATGCAAGGATCCTTGGTGCAGAATCAAGTTTGCGCAAATGACGGTCCCCTGGTGTAGGGTGGAGCCACAATAGCAGATACATATTTTATACATTTGAATTTTTTAAAAATCTTCTTGTCAAGAACTGCAGGGACATGCTTAGTAATATGCACAATTTCTCAGGTAGTGAGGATTCAAGTTTGCTCAAAGTCATGGCCCCATGGGGTAGGATGGAGCTACAACTAATTAAGGGATAATATTTGAGATAAAAATTAAATTTTCTTGAGAACAACAGATTAGTGATAGATATTATCCCTGTGTGGTTTATTCGAAACATGGCCCCATGGGAATATCTACTGGGAAAATCTAAAACTTAGAAATATATCCAGAGGACAAGAATGTCCCAATTAAGGTTCATTAATTATGCAACATGAAAAAAATACCCTCTTCTATGCTACATTAGGACGTACAAGTAGTAAGTTCAAGGTCACAAGGAAAGTTAAAGCAGAAAATTATGTCACAGTTAAATACTGCTTACATATTTGTAATAATTTAATGAAAAATATTTAATGTCAAAAGTCGAAGCAAATCAGATGATTCCCAAGTATATTTTAAAAATAGGTAATAAGATATTATAGAGCTAACCACAATGTTGTCTTTAAGGAGGAATGCCACACCAGAATTTTATTTAATAGGTCTTTAAGACATCCCTTTTAAACTATGGTTTCAACATTGAAAGACAGACATAGGCTCCTAATTATTTTATACGATTTTCTTTGTATTTTTTCAAAGAAGATGATAAAATTGTTTTATTTGCAAATAAGATGATTTATTGGTTAAAAATTGCTGTTAATAAATGCATAGAATGAATGCCTGATAAAATATGTAAAGAAAGGCAGGATAGACATTTTAATTTTTTAAATAAGTTTTTTTTTTTTATGAAAATAAAACACATTATTTTTGAATATTTTTTAAACATATGGATATAATCCTCATAAAACTAGTCACAACTAGGGAGAACATTTTAGTCAATCACATTTTTTTAAAAAAAATTGAAAATGAAATTGCAAAATTTTAAGGAAAATAATTATTTTAATATTTGGACCAAGTCCCGATCAAAATTAAACTGATCTCGATCAAAATTAGCACAAAATAAATAATATAATAATTTATTTCCTTCTTTTTGTATTTACCACTAAGAAATCTATTTGATTGTCAAGTTCAAATACTTTTTAACCAATATTACACAAATTAAATTAAAATGTTTATCTGGCTTTTCTTTTACATATTTTATTAGATATTTATATTATGCATTATTAACAGCAAACTTTTACGCTAAAGCATCTTGTTTGCAAAAAAAACTTTTTTTTTCATTTTCTATGAGAAATTAGAAAAAAAAATTCTAAAATAATTAAGAGCTAATATCGGCCTTTCAATGCTGAAACCATAACTTAGCAGGGATGTCTTAAAGATCTATGAAATAAAATTTTGGTGAGGCATTCCTCCTTAATTAAGTGAGGCAAAGTCCCACACTAAACTAATAATCTAGTAGTTTGCATCCCTATAGATGCAACATTTATGCAATTTTGGTCTGATAGGGCTTGCACTTACTTGGGAATGGACTTGCCTAAAAACTTTAGTCACTCATCCAGAAAATGCAAGTCAATTTAAGCATCTGAAGCAAGTTTGAGAGTGTTCATTCCTTGATCCATCATACATGCAAGTTTAATAGTTTCTTGGCAATGGACCTGCTCGAAAAATTTTAACCTGGTCACTCATCTGAAAATTGTAGGCCAGATCCAGCATCCAAAGCAAGTCCAGTAGTGTGCATTCTTAGATGTATCATCCATGCAAGTTGGGTCAATGTAAGGCTTATAGTTACTTGGAAATGAGATCTGCTCCAAAAACATTAACCTTGTCATTTTCTAGCTGAAATTGCAGCATCTGAAACCTTGAATGCTATGAAGTATCCTCCATGCATCTCTGATTAAAATAGGGCATAGAAGTACCCGGTACTTGAAAAGAACTTTAACCTGAGACAAAGACACCGCCAGTAAATTACATAAGCTCCCCCAACTTCGTTGAGCCAAAAAAAAAAAAAAAAAGAGGCCCATGGGCCACGACGCTCACCTGAGTCAATATGGCCCTGCTGTTCTTCGTCAGCATATTTCTTCTCCTATATTTCTCCTATATATTCCTATATAAAGCTTTGATCGCCTGTTCTAGGCATACCCTACCCCAAGGTGCCATGTTTTGAATGAAATTGAATATAAACCTTCTGAGGATGCTTCTATCTTCATATAACTAATCATGATTTTGCTGTTCTTTAAAACAGAATTTTAAATATGTCTAACACCCTGGGGGGGGGGGGTGGGGGGGGGGTCATGATTTGAACAAACTTCAATGTACACTACCTGAGGATGCTTCCATATCAATATGACTGATCATGGCTTTGTTGTTCTTGAGATTGAAGGAGATTCTTAAAGATATCTCCTGTATGAGTTCTTTTGTAAAACTTTGATCCCCCATTATGGCCCCACCCTACTACTGGAGGATGCCTTAAACAAGCTTGAATCTACAATATTTGGGGATGGTTCCATATCAATATGACTAATTGTGGCTTAGTTGTTCTTGAGAAGATTTTTAAAGAATTTTCCTATATAATTCCTATGTAAAAATTTGATCCCCCATTGTAGCCCCACCCTACATCCTGGGGTCATGATTTGAACAAATTTGAATCTACACTACTTGAAGATGATTCCATATCAATATGACTAATTGTGGCTTTGTTGTTCTTGAGAAGATTTTTTTTAAAGATTTTCCCTATATATTCCTATGTAAAACTTTGATCCCCCATTGTGGCCCCACCCTACCCCCGGGGGTCATTTGAACAAACTTGAATCTACACTACCTGAGGATGATTCTATATCAATATGACTAATTGTGGCTTTGTTGTTCTTGAGAAGAAGATTTTTAAAGATTTTCCCTATATATTCCTATGTAAAACTTTGATCCCCCATTGTAGCCCCACCCTACCCCCGGGAGTCATGATTTGAACAAACTTGAATCTACACTACCTGAGGATGCTTTCATATCAATATGACTAATTGTGGCTTTGTTGTTCTTGAGAAGAAGATTTTTAAAGATTTTCCTTATATATTCCCATGTAAAATTTTGATCCCCCATTGTGGCCCCACCCGACTCCCGGGGTCGTGATTTGAACAAATTTGAATCTACACTACCTGAGGATAATTCCATATCAATATGACTAATTGTGGCTTTGTTGTTCTTGAGAAGAAGATTTTTAAAGAATTTTCCTAAGTATTCCTATATAAAAATTTGATCCCCCATTGTAGCCCCACCCTACCCCTGGGGGTCATGATTTGAACAAATTTGAATCTACACTACCTGAGGATGATTCAATAACAATATGACTAATTGTGGCTTTGTTGTTCTTGAGAAGAAGATTTTTAAAGGTTTTCCCTATATATTCCCATGTAAAATTTTGATCCCCCATTGTAGCCCCACCCTACCCCCGGGGGTCATGATCTGAACAAATTTTAATCTACACTACCTGAGGATGATTCCATATCAATATGACTAATTGTGGCTATGTTGTTCTTGAGAAGAAGATTTTTAAAGATTTTCCCTATATATGTAAAAATTTGATCCCCCATTGTGGCCCCACCCTACCCCCGGGGGTCATAATTTGAACAAATTTGAATCTACACTATGTAATGAAGACTTCACATAAGTATAAACTTTTCTGGCTCAATGGTTCTTGAGAAGAAGATTTTTAAAAGATGACACCAAATTTTCACCAATTCTTAATTATCTCCCCTTGGAAGAGGGCGTGGCCCTTCATTTGAACAAACTTGAACCCCTTTTACCCAAGGATGCTTTGTGGCAAGTTTGGTTGAAATTGGCCCAGTGGTTCTGGAGAAGAAGTCGAAAATGTGAAAAGTTTACAGACGGACAGATGGACAGACAGACAGACAGACGGACTACAGACAAAATGTGATCAGAAAAGCTCACTTGAGCTTTCAGCTCAGGTGAGCTAAAAATCTCTTTCTTGAGAACAGCAGGATCAATTTAACTAGGATGAGCATTGTGACCCTTTTTTTTTTTTAAATTTGTGCATGCATTTATTCAACTGTTGATGTTAATCCATTTGAAGAGAGCAATAAAGTTTGATTTTGCACCTCATTTCAACAAAATACTGCATTAAAAAATCAGAACTGAAGATGCCTTTACTAGCATTTTTTAAGAGATTTAAATTGATACATTGTACACATCAAAATAATTGATATTTTCCAATGATTAAAAAATATCATGATCAGTTGTGTCAACATTAAGAAGATGAGTGAACAATTGATGGAGTGCAGAATGCCTATTGATTCTGATATACAAGAATTATATTCAATTTTTTAATTTAGTCTTTAGAGTTATGTTAACATTATTGTAATTTATGAATTTATGTGATAAACAAAATTTTTCTGATGAAAATTTTCTCAGCAAAATTATTCTGTTATTAATTTAAAAAGTGTGGTATTCATGGGGTTTTAACCTTAGCAATAAACATAGGTAATCAAAGATTACGAAGCTCACCTCGACGAAGGTTATCTATAAGTAAGGCAAATCTCACATCATATTTTTTCTAGTTAGTGCACATCCCAAGATCAATATCTATACAAGTTTGGTTTAAGAAGGACTTATAATTACTTGGAAATAGACCTGCTCAAAAAACTTTAACCTTGTCACTCATCTGGAAAATCTAGGTCAGATTCAGCATCCGAAGCAAGTGTGTAGTGTTCATCCCTAGATGCATCATCCATGCAAGTTTGGTCCAGGTAGGGCGTATAGTTACTTGGGAATGGACCTGCTCCAAAAACTTTAACCTGGTAACTCATCTGGAAATTCTAGGTCAGATCCAGCATCCGAAGCAAGTGTGGTAGTGTCCATCCCTAGATGCATCATCCATGCAAGTTTGGTTCAGGTAGGGCTTATAGTTACTTGGGAAAGGATCTGCTCCAAAAACTTTAACCTGGTCACTCATCTGGAAAATCTAGGTCAGATTCAGCATCCGAAGCAAGTGTGGTAGTGTCCATCCCTAGATGCATCATCCATGCAAGTTTGGTCCAGGTAGGGCGTATAGTTACTTGGGAATGGACCTGCTCCAAAAACTTTAACCTGGTAACTCATCTGGAAATTCTAGGTCAGATCCAGCATCCGAAGCAAGTGTGGTAGTGTCCATCCCTAGATGCATCATCCATGCAAGTTTGGTTCAGGTAGGGCTTATAGTTACTTGGGAAAGGATCTGCTCCAAAAACTTTAACCTGGTCACTCATCTGGAAAATCTAGGTCAGATTCAGCATCCGAAGCAAGTGTGGTAGTGTCCATCCCTAGATGCATCATCCATGCAAGTTTGGTTCAGGTAGGGCGTATAGTTACTTGGGAATGGACCTGCTCCAAAAACTTTAACCTGGTCACTCATCTGGAAAATCTAGGTTAGATTCAGCATCTGAAGCAAGTGTGGTAGTGTCCATCCCTAGATGCATCATCCATGCAAGTTTGGTCCAGGTAGGGGTTATAGTTACTTGGGAATGGACCTGCTCCAAAAACTTTAACCTGGTCACTCATCTGGAAAAATCTAGGTCAGATCCAGCATCTGAAGCAAGTGTGGTAGTGTCCATCCCTATATGCATCATCCATGCAAGTTTGGTTCAGGTAGGGCGTATAGTTACTTGGGAATGGATCTGCTCCAAAAACTTTAACCTGGTCACTCATCTGGAAAATCTAGGTCAGATTCAGCATCCGAAGCAAGTGTGGTAGTGTCCATCCCTAGATGCATCATCCATGCAAATTTGGTTCAGGTAGGGCCTATAGTTACTTGGGAATGGACCTGCTCCAAAAACTTTAACCTTATCACTCATCTGGAAAATCTAGATTAGATTCAGCATCCGAAGCAAGTGTGGTAGTGTCCATCCCTAGATGCATCATCCATACAAGTTTGGTCCAGGTAGGGCGTATAGTTACTTGGGAATGGATCTGCTCCACAAACTTTAACCTGGTCACTCATCTGGAAAATCTAGGTAAGATCCAGCATCCGAAGCAAGTGTGGTAGTGTCCATCCCTAGATGCATCATCCATGCAAGTTTGGTCCAGGTAGGGCTTATAGTTACTTGGGAATGGATCTGCTCCAAAAACTTTAACCTGGTCACTCATCTGGAAAATCTAGGTTAGATCCAGCATCCGAAGCAAGTGTGGTAGTGTCCATCCCTAGATGCATCATCCATACAAGTTTGGTTCAGGTGGGGCGTATAGTTCCTTGGGAATGGACCTGCTCCAAAAACTTTAACCTGGTCACTCATCTGGAAAATCTAGGTCAGATCCAGCATCCGAAGCAAGTGTGGCAGTGTCCATTCTAGATGCATCATCCATGCAAGTTTGGTCCAGGTAGGGCTTATAGTAACTTGGGAATGGGACTTGCTCCTAAAACTTTAACCGGGACGCCGACGCCAACGCCGGGGGTATAGCATAAGCTCATCTCGACTTCGTCGAGGTGAGCTAAAAATGATAAGTATCAATTTCCTTTGAGACTAACACACTAACCACTATGCTACACGAATGCATTTAAATCATGTTTGTGATATGACCCTAAATGGACTCCAAGTATTTCTCGAAAAAGATACAAATGTTGTGTCATAATAGTGTATTTTTAAGAGGTAGTGGGTCTTTGCTCCATGTTTTTGTTCACCATGAAATGTACGGTCAAATCTTGTTATCTTGAACTTGATGGGACCGAAGAAAAACTTTGAGATATCCAATGATTCGAGATATCGAGGGTAAAATAAGTGATTGGGACTTCCAAATCAGTTCGATATATCCATGATATTTGAAATATTTTGGTGTTGGAGATACCGAAGTTCAACTGTATATTTTAACATAAACTTTGAGGATAAACTTTCAAAAAAATGAAGCAAAGACCCACTCATATTGAAAAATTGTGTAATAGTATGAGATAATAAAACCTTTTGCCCTCCTTATTGTGTGTTTGCTATTTTATAAGCAATAATTTCAATCTTTGTAAGATTTTTGCAAATTGTGGAGATTTAACATAAAGTATACTTTAATGTTAGATGAAGTATCAAAGGAAATTTTGCTATAATTGAGATTTAATTTTTTAACCTTCATGTTTGTTGTACTATAGGCATTTCTCTTGTCAATTTGTCTGTCCATCCTCTTTGGCATACATTCAGTAATGTCAATATACAATATAATACCAAAACTTTTCCTCTGCTTTTAAGGGCTTGGAACCTTCTGCTTGAAAAAACATACAAATATGTTTATTCAAGCAGGCAGCATTAAAAGTTCTGTGCTTTTTTGTTCTGCTCTTCTTTTTTTTTAATATATATTTTTTTCAAATCTTTTTTTTTTTTGTTTGTTTTTCTTTCTTTCTTTTTTTGTTCTTTTTTTTTTTGTTTTTCTTTCTTTTTTTTTGTTTTTTGTTTTTGTTTTTTTTTTTCCCCTTTTTTGTGTTGTTTCTTTCTTTTTTTGTCTTTTCTTGTTTTCTTTTGGCTTTTTTTTTTGCACAAAACTTGCCAATTAAATCAGACATTCACAATTCACTATTTTACATAAACAAATCACAATTTAAATTAACAAATCACAATTTAAGATTAACAAATCACAATTCATGTTACAAATCATAATTTCACATCAAATTTCTCATCAATTACTTTTACTGCATATTTAGTCACATCAGTATATAAGGCATTCAATTTCACAATATTAAGCTAATAATCAGAATCAACTATACAAATTATTACTGGTACAGTAGCTGACAGAATTACATTCCAGGAATACTAATTTAATATTTAACAATCATTACATCTGCAACATGTATGATTTTTTGATTTTAGATAAAATAAAAACAGATTATTAAAGACAAAGCAGCCTACAACTAGTTGCGTTTTCAACCTCTCCTCCCCAGGCCAGCCTGGCAACCGTAGCGGCCAAGGATCCACGAAGTTCCAACCAGTAATGCCCCAGGGTATCGACAAGGCCTACTAAACAACTAGCTTTCAACTACTTCATCTAAACATTTTATAATATAAAATATTATAAACAAAATAAAATAACATTAGAGCAAAACAATAGATAACACAAGATTTTTACACTGGCACAGAGAAAAAGAATGGGGTCAGTGTGGGAGGAAGCCGGAGCACCCGGAGAAAACCCACGTGTCTGAGTGGGCGACCCCATACCCTCCTATGACTCAGACACCCATTTCCAAAACAAATGTTTTAAACAGAATTTGTTTTGGATTAAAAGAAATTATAACATTTTAAACTGGATGTGCTTGTGTGTACTTCACAGATCTGGCTTTCTGCATGGTCATCTTTGTCTTTCTCCACATGCGATCACAAGGATATGCCTCTTCAGTACTTTTATTTTCTGTCAATGAATGATAAAAAAAAGGTAATTGACCATAAGGACCAATGAAGTAAAATGAAGAACAGAGTTTTATAGAATGGCATAACTGAGTAAATTATTCAAATACCTGAGGGCTCCTTGTAATTTAAAATGTCAAGCACACCAACACGACTTCATCTAAGTCTCCTGGGTACTGTCACCAACTCATAAAGCACACTATAAAATAAAAGTTAATACTTCAGCATCTATGCAAGTACGAGGGTTGTTAAAAAAGTTCGCAGACACATTGATTTAGGGAAAATCTATTGTTTACTGTGAAGTATGACTTATGTCTGATTAAATTCCTATCTTTTGTTTATTAGTATGTAAAACAATCAGGTCCATTTACTAAAAAATTTGAAAATTTACAATTTTTACTATGCAGTCATAGGAATCACGGAGCAATCACTTGACGTTAAGTGACGTACGTGACAATCAGATTTCAAAACCGTTAAGCTTTTTCAAAGTTCCAAATATCTTTCATTTCTTTGGACTTTTCTTGTCTTTTTTCTACTTAGAAGTTAAATAACTATATCAAGACATGTTACTTTTCATCTATAATGTCTTTTGTGCTGTTTCGGAAATTAGTGAAAATTTAAAATAATAGTCTACGCAGTTAAGAGATCAGGTATGGAAACAATGCAAAATCCATAGGCGCAATGTCCTTGCGGTAAGTGGGGTAATGAGGTATCGATGGAGTTGATTATTAAAAATGTTAATCATTCCATTCTTATAAAGCTACTACATTTTGAATACTTTTGTCCTTTGTACATGTAGGCAATTTCCAGCAGCTTCTAGAAGCATTTTAGTTTATTTTAGACATTTTCCTGTCTGCACACATTATTTTTAGTAGTTCGGTGCTCCATGACGTTCCATGACATTCCCATTATTGGTTTTGTTTTTACACGTTGATTATTTATAAATGGCTATAAAACAGTCATACACCCTCCAATTTAATTCAATAATTTCGGCAAGTGACCTTTCATGAATACTGTAGCGACAGGTAAAATATCATAATTCTTTCTGCACTATAACTGTGCAATTTTTTATTTCAATAAAAAGTCTATGTACTGTTAACGTGCGAAAAAGTAGCATGCTCCGTGAAGCATGTTTTACCAAAATAATATAGCTGTATATTTTTTAAGGATTACCAGAAAACATCAAATCTTTGTATATTTATTGGAAAATAGGTAAAGTTTTTATCTGGAGAGTTTAACCGGTTTCATGGAAAAAGCGCACTCACAATAGAACTTGTCCGCGAACTTTTCTAACAACCCTCGTATAAACAGAAATTAATAAAAGAACAGACATATCTAAGTTAAATATTATATAGCTCTAAGAGATATTCTTTTGCTGTACTTTTTCAAAAAAAGATGTTGGATCATAATGATTATATATGTCACGTACCTGATCAGTGACAGTTCTCCACAGTGATTAGTCTTGCTTTTGGGGAGGTCATCATCCATCAGTCTTGTCTTTTCCAGGTTTTTCCACCAATGTAGCTGCTCATTTCAACATCTTAGAGGGTCAACAACCATCAACCTTGCCTTTTCCAGGTTTTTTCACCGATTCATGTCTGGCTATAACTGCTATTTCCACATCTTGGAGGGTCAACATCCATCAGTCTTGCCTTTTCCAGGTTTTTCCACCAATTCATATCTGACTATGGCTGCTTATTTCCACATCTTGGAGGGTCAAAATCCATCAACATTGCATTTTCAACCAGTTGTTTCTACCAATTCCTGTTAGGCTTCAAATGCTTTTTTCACATTGTCCAAAATAACTTTATGAACACCATTCTTGGAAGTCTCCTCTTCAACCTGCCAGATGGATTATGATTATCTCATTTGCCTAAAAGAAAGAGAAAAGGGGGGTCAGTGTGGGAGGAAGTCGAAATACCCAAAGAGATTTAACCCATGTGTCCGAATTGGGCGACCCCATACCCATTTGTGTAATTGGACAACCTTTACAAAAATGTTTTTTAAAATGGTTTTTGATGTTGCTAGAATGCATTTATATCAGTGCTTTGAAGGTTTGGATATTTAAGCTTGTCCTGCTTTTCCATACATTATCTCAAGAATGTGCTCCCTTAAATTTGGGGCTCCCTCTTATTTTCTGTAAATGAATGAAGCAAGAAGTAATTGTCAGGTTATAAAAAAAGCAAGAGGCACAAGCATGAGTATAATGTAACTCTGTAAAGGATCCATAGACTGAATATAAAATAAAACAACAAAAGCTAAAAAATGAAGCTATGTTGCCCAAAATCAGGAGAAAAAAAATAATCAGGAATCAGCAAAATAATTTAGTGCTCTGAGTAACATACCTTACAAGTTGATCTATTTATCTGACTGCACTTTCCCCCATTTGACACTATCCCCATGCAGATTAAATAAAACACTATTTCTTGAACACTGATAGTAAACAAATCTCATTCCCTCTCAACATTAACCTCATTTAGTCTTTGAAGAACATTTAATGTACAAATATTTTTTGTCCAATTTTTATTTATGTATTGTTTACAAGTCCTCCTGACCACTAAAAACTATGAAAGTACTTTTCGTATTAAATATTATAAAAATTCTTGTAGAATTCTGTTATTCAATTGACCTTTCAATTACAATATTTAAGGTGATTAATTATCATAGATGAACAGAAAAGAGCAATAACTTCTGTCAGTAGAATACTAGTACAAAGAGGTAAAGCACACTTAGTAAATGGCATGGCCTACAATACAGCACATTTACAACCATCCAAAATATTTCAATATTTTATGATACAGTGGAACTTTGATATTTTGACGATTGATATCTCGAAGACCATAATTATGTCAAAGTAATTTGGAAGTACCAACCACTTATTATTTAAGTGTTTTGGCCCTGATATCTCAAATTCCCAGATATCTCAAAGTTTTTTCTCAGTCCCATTGAGTTCGATATAACAAGGTTCAACTGTATTTAGTAAATCTAGCTATAAACAAATACAAATTATACCATTAAATGGCAAAAAATAGTCATAATCATCTCAAAATCAATGAAATTTACAGAATTTGCATACGATATATGGAGAACTATCAAGTGAGCATTATAAAAAAAAAAGAGATTTACGTATTTGATCCAACTTAAACCAGAGACATCTTAAAGGGGTTATGTTCTTTTGATGTTATATAGCATACAGTTATATTAAAATCTTTGGTTTAACTTGGTCTTCATATTAAAAATTGATTATATACATGTACCTCAGTTATCCTATTAAGACTCTATCTTGGTGCTATATATACTCAATAGACACCTGCTTTGTTACTAGTCTGCTAGTCTAGTGTTGTTGGCTGATATGTTTTTGTGTTTGAGGTCTCGGTTCAAATCTGGTAAAAATTCCCTTCTTCATTACAACTTTATATATTCTGTTTGCTTCTAAATGCACAGGGGCAGAGAAGAATTTCAAAAAAAAAATAATGCAATTTCACCATAGATCCATTACAAAGCCCCACCCTAACACCATAGTTTCTGACCATAGGGCAAAGAAATTCGCAAGAGGCACCTTGCTCATCATAACTATGCACTTAGTATGTTGCTCTTTACCCACGGGCAGAGAAGATTTTGAAAGAACTAATGCATTTTCACTATCTTAATTATGAATAGAGCTCTGCTCCAACACCAAAACCCCTGAACCATGCAGAGGCCACAAGTTCAGAATTCTTAAACCAGCACCCTTGCTCTTCATACCTATGCACTTAGTTTATCTGCAAAATACCTAGGGGCAGAGAAGACTTTCAAAGAAATAATGCAGCTTCACTATGTATTGAAAATAGCCCTTCAGCCACCCCCCCCCCCCCCTTCTTATAAAATTGAACTAACTCTCAGGGGCCACAAATTTCACAATTTTTTAAGAGGCACTCTTGATCATCATAACCATGCACTTTATTTATTTGCCAAATATCTAGGAGCAGAAAAGTTTTTTAAATAATAATGCATTTTACCTATAATCAATAGAGCCTCCCTCCTGCAGAATCCCTGACCCCAAGACCACAAATTTCACAATTTTGGAAGAGGCACCCGTGCTCATCATAATTATGCCAACAGTTTGACTGCTTGATGTCCAGGAGTAAAGAACCTTTTTAAAGATAACACTAATTTTGATGGTTTAATTTAGCCTCACCCCTAAGCCCCTAAGGCCCAGAGTGGCAGGGGCCATGAAATTCATATTTTTATTCCCCTTCAATCATAGCTGGATATTCTGTGCCAAAATTGGTTAAAATAGGTTTAGCCCTTCTAGAGAAGAAGTGAAAACGTTAAAATGTTAACACGACTGATGAGGACAGACAAATAGCAATAGGTCACCTGAGTCACTTAGGTGACCTAAAAATTACAAAAATAGTAATCAAGGTAACTTTGCCATACCTGAATGGTCCACATTCTTGATAATGTCATCAAGCAAATCACAGCAAGCCCACAAGATCTGCTTAATTCCCAGTACTTTGAATGGTCTCCAAATCTTCAAACTTTAAAGAAGAGGAAACACACGCTATATAGTATCCACTAGAACAAAACAGAAAAATGAGAAAAACTATTGACACCCCAAGGAAAACCATTGTCAGCGAAGGTTGAAAGTGCTTTTCACAGGGGTGTCAATTTAAACTATACTCTCAAAAATTGTGCAGTTTATTTTTTATACTGATTGTCTAATTGATATAGGATGTCAGCAAAATTGAAGATCGTTGTTAAGTTCAGAAAGTTTTCAAACTCCCTGCTTCTGTTTTTCTCAATAAGAAATTTAAGCTTTGAAGATTAGCCTATCTCTTTGTTTGTTTGATACTTATAACAGAGTCCCTTTATCATCACAAGTTTGTTATTTCTGCACTAGCTTGCAAGCATGCTTTTATGGTCTGTTGTTTGTTGTTTTAAATCAAGCTATAACGGGAATGGACGCAAGCTTTATGATTGATGTCAAGTTTATTTGGCTTCTTTCAAATGCACAGGTGACATCTTGAGAATTCTACCATACATGCATAATTTACATGCATGTGACATTATTGTTAATTGTTGTCAAGTGTTGCTAATGCTGAGGGTAACATTATATAAATGTTGCATGTAGTTGAGTGTAACATTGAAAATTTTCACCCCAAGAAAACCAAAATTGGCTGCACCTCGGTCGACAGTGGTTTTCAAGGGGTGAAAATTTTCAATGTTACACTCAACTACATGCAATATTTATTATATCATACTGAATGTTTTATACAAATACATATAATAGTGAACTGTGTGTGCATAAATTCTGGGCAGTCACTATGTTTTGGAATATCACCCGTCGTCAAGCAATGTTAACTGTTGCTACGCTGGAGGGCGTGGCTTCATCATTCAGCGGGTAATAGTGTTTTTTCACAAATGTTTCTCGACAAATCAGATTCAACTAATTTACATGACAGTATAATATTACAAATTGTTAAATGTGTCTTAAAACCAATCAGATTTTAGTATACAACATGACGTACAGACTATAATGAAAAAAATGTCAAACATGAACTGAAATTTGATTAGAATTTCACAGCTTAAACAACTTATATCAGATGTATCATTCTGGGGTCTTATATCACTTTCATCTTATATCACTTTCAACAGTAAACACTCATTGATGAAGCATTAAAGTCAAATATTTGTGCACTGAAGCCTCTGAGCAGGGAATTCTGCAAGCAAGGTGTGCATCAGGTCACATAGTGTTAACATGATAGCACAGCCTGTATTTATAGAATGTGACACAGACAGGCCTTGGAAGGCTCATTGAAAAACACATATTTTAAGCAATCTTATTAAGTCAAAAGAAGAACATGGGAGAAAATGCATTAACATTAATGTTCAATATTTGTTTTAAAAAAATCTTCACTTCTCTTTACTTTGTGTTTGTTAAAGTGTTTGAGTTAACTGTCTCAATAGTATGTAGAGTATATGCACCGTGTTTCTTAGCATAAATTTTAATTTGGGTGTGAAGAGTCAGAATGTCTGGTTGAATGTACACCATTACAAAAGCTTAGGCTACTGCTGAATGACTTCAAGCTATGCAACGTACCGGCTAAAAATTCAGTCTGCTAGTTAACTTGACCTTGTTTAAAAGATTTTTTTCATTGATGTCAATTGTCAAAAACACATTTAAAGTACAGTACTGGTAAGAGTATGTCCAAGAATTGCAAGATGTCTTTGACTGCTTGGTTTCAGAGTCTTACACAAGTAAAAGCCAATCTTTCCATTTATTTTTAAACTCATTTACACATGTGTATTTGATTACTTTTTGTTGTACTACATTTCATTGCATATAGTATGTTTTAATGTATCCAAGCAATCCTTATAATGTCAAAACCTCATTACCACATTTAGTTCTGTATATAAAAGATTAAATATTTTTAACAATACTTAAGTCCTTTTTGAATATTGGGCTTGAAAGTACATGTACAACTATCTCTTGGAAACTATATATTCTGAGCTTCACAGTTCCTGAACCTTCTGGCATTCCCAATGTGGGAATCCCATGAAATAATATGAAAAATTGTTTCCTCACATGTCTGAGAAGCTACACAATTTATGTCCTGTTCACACAGATTCGATTTAAATGCAAGTTACAGTGAATTAAATCTGAATCGCATTCACACAGAGAATTTCATGAGAATTAGTTTAATTCGAATTAATTAACTGCCATAAAATTATTTCGCATTAGCTTCATATGAACGCCAAGCAAAGCTAATTTGAATGAAATTCTGGTGCATGCATAATAGCAAAATTAAGCCACCTGCCACAATATGTCATTGGTTGATAATTCAGTACTTACACTATTTTTTTTAGTGAAAAACAAAGAAAAAATAAGTTTATCACTAAACATCTGTACAGACACTACGATATTATGTCAAACACTGGAAATTTCAAACCCATTATATAACACTTTATTTTTAGCTAAGATATGTTAATTTATTCTGAATTATAGGCCATATAATTTGGATCTATTTATCAATAAGAAAATCTTGGATCATGATTATGTTACATACCTGATCAGTGTCAGTTATCTACTGTGAAAAGTCTTGAAAGGGGGGGGGGGTTAACATCCATCAGGTTTGTCTCCTCCATTTGTTTCCACCAAGTCCTGTTGGCTGCAGCTGCTGTTTCCACATCTTGGAAGATCAACATCCATCAGCCTTGCCTCCTCCAGTTGTTTCCACCAAGTCCTCGCCCCAAGACCATAAACTGAGACGGAGTCAGAATTTTTATTTTCAATATCTTGAGTTTCATATCTAATGTATTTGCTAAAACATTACCAGTTTTGTATAGCATTTGAATTCAAACATATGGTGGCATTTTTGTCTCATAATCAAAATCATTCAAAAGTTATTTTGGTTTGAAATTTTGACTGAAGTCTATTCTCAGTTTATGGTCTTGAGGCCTGTTGAGAGCAGCTGGTGTTTCCACATCTTGGAAGATCATTGTTCATCAGGTTTGCCTCAACATTCATCAGCCTTGCCTCCTGCAGTTGTTTCCACCAAGTCCTTTTGGATGGGGCTGCTGTTTCCACAATACGGAAGATTAACAACCATCAGCTTTGCCTCCTACAGTTGTTTCCACCATGTCCTGTTGTCAGCATCTGCACTTTTTCAGAGTCAATATCCATTAGCCTGTAGGAAATATCTTCCATGCTTACAGGGCTCCAGTTTTGATCTGCCAGATAGTTCTTCAAGTGCCTTTCTCAATCTCTTATCCTGGAAGGGGCAAAAAGGGGTTATGAATACTTACACTTTAACAAAAAAATCAACTTAAGGAAAAAAAATTTATCATTCTGCATAAAAGATCTACTATCTTGAAGAAGGGGATCTCTGATTAAGTGCAGTGATATGGACTGAGCTTGATGGGGAAAATTTTTCTATGAAAAGATGGTGGGAGAAACATAAAGGACAAAGGTATGGCCCTTGTTTGATATAAAAATCGAAATGCAGTTAAAATTAATAACTGTAAGTGATGCTTGTTTTGTATTGATTTAAAGTGTATTAATGGAAGCTACAAGAAAATGAAAAATTAGGAAATTCCTCAATTCTGATGAAATTTCATCAGATTTCTGTGATTTCTATACATGATGTGTATCTGATATCAGTGTATGATATATGTAAATTTTAATAGACTGTGAAGCTTGGAAACAAAATGGCTCTTAAAATTATTACACAAATGAGTATCATTCAAACCAATTTTATATAACACTTTATTTGTAGCTGTGTTGATTTAATTATTCTAAATTGAAGCCATTGTAATTTGGTATTTTTTATCAATAAGATGATCATTGATCATGATTATGTCACATACCTGATTAGGCAGTGTCAGTTATCTACTGTAAAATGTCTTGAAAGGGGTGGGGTTAATATCCATCAGACTTGTCTTCTCCATTTGTTTCCACTAAGCCCTGTTGGCTGCAGTTGCTGTTTCCACATGATTCTTGGAAGATCATTGTCAATCAGGCTTTTGTATTCCAGTTGTTTCCACCAAGTTCTGTTGGCTGCAGTTGCAGTTTCCTCATCTTGGAAGATCATTGCCTATCAGGCTTGCCTCCTGCATTTGTTTCATCCAAGTCCTGTTGGCTGCAGCTGCTGTGTCCACATTTTGGAAGATCAACATCCATCAGACTTGCTCCTCCAGTTGTTTTCACCAAGTCCTGATGGGTGCAGCTACTGTTCCTACATCTTGGAGATTCATTGTCCATCAGGCATGCATATTCCAGTTGTTTCCACCATGTCCTGTTGTCTTTTTTAATTAAAACTGAAAGAGAGGTAGCTTTTTGAAAAATTATTTACAGATGTACAGACAGACAAGGGACACCTTCTTATGCATTAGCTCTTCTAGTCTCTGACCAGTAGAGCTAACACATTGGCCATTGCCAAGAAAAGCTACACAATATCAAGCATTATTTTCTTTATTATCGAAAGATGAATCAAGTCAATTAGCACAGTTTTACTTTTTTCAGGAACATTTTAAATCATCAAACAATACTAGTGATGCATTATTTAAGTTATTTTCTAACTCTGAATTTTTGATTAATTCAATACTTTCTGTTACATTTTACCTTGTCTTGCTTAAGAATATTGCTTATTCCTCTGCAACTTTCAAGCTTTGTCCAACCATAAAATAAAGCTGTAAAAAGAACCAATATAATTAGATAATAGGCCCTCAATCAGGTCAGAAGTTTCAGTTGAAACACAAGGTTTCAACACTTCAAGTCTTTTATATCCACCATGTCCAATGTAGATACCACTGCAAAATACAACAAAGAACATTAGACACATACTTAATACTGATACCATAACTAATAACTAATACTGGCATACCAATAACAAATAACTAAAACTGATAACAATAACAAATAACTAAAACTGATAACAATAACAAATACCTAATATTCATACCAATAACAAATAACTAAAACTGATAACAATAAGAAATAACTAAAATTCATACCAATAACAAATAACTAAAACTCATAACAATAACAAATAACTAAAACTCATAACAATAATGAATAACTAAAACTAATAACAAAAACAAATAACATAATCATAACAACAACAAAATTATACTAATAAGAATTATAGCAAATTAAACACTTAACTTACTAAACTAACATAACAAATAACAAACAAAACTTGAATAAACAAGTGTCTAACAAAAAAAACCTATTGTAACAAATAACTTATAGCAAGAACAGAACTAACAAAACAATGTTAGATAAATAATATTATCTAAAATTTAACAAAAAAATTACAACTAACAACACCAACAAAGCAAAAACTAAAACAAATAACTAAAATAACAAAAAAACCTAACATAAACATAATAATACCCCCCCCCCCCTCCAGCGTTGTTGGGATGCTGTTCCAATCCAATATGCCCAGCCGCCTCCAAGTCCTTATTCCACCATCTCCAACGATGAAGTCCCGGAAAAGAGAAAACAGAGAAGATTAGACAAACAAAAAACAACAAAACAAAAAATCTATTACAAGAGATGTGCTGAGAATGGGGGAGGGGAGGGAAATGTTAGTACTTAGTGGGAGTGCCAAAATAATAATGAAACGATCTTACCTCTACTATTTCTTAATGACTAAGAAATACCTCCATTCCAGCGTTGTTGGGATGCTGTTCCAATCCAATATGCCCAGCCGCCTCCAAGTCCTTATTCCACCATCTCCAACGATGAGGTCCCGGCAAAGAGAAGACAGAGAAGATTAGACAAACAAAAAACAACAGAACAAAAAATCTATTACAAGAGATGTGCTGAGAGTGGGGAGGGGAGGGAAATGTTAGTACTTAGTAGGAGTGCCAAAATAATAATGAAACGATCTTACCTCTGCTATTTCTTAATGACTAAGAAATACCTCCATTCCAGCGTTGTTGGGATGCTGTTCCAATCCAATAAGCCTAGCTGCCTCCAAGTCCTTATTCCACCATCTCCAACGATGAGGTCCCGGCAAAGAGAAAACAGAGAAGATTAGACAAACAAAAAACAACAGAACAAAAAATCTATTACAAGAGATGTGCTGAGAGTGGGGAGGGGAGGGAAATGTTAGTACTTAGTAGGAGTGCCAAAATAATAATGAAACGATCTTACCTCTGCTATTTCTTAATGACTAAGAAATACCTCCATTCCAGCGTTGTTGGGATGCTGTTCCAATCCAATAAGCCTAGCTGCCTCCAAGTCCTTATTCCACCATCTCCAACGATGAGGTCCCGGCAAATAGAAAACAGAGAAGATTAGACAAACAAAAAACAACAAGACAAAAAAACTATTACAAGAGATGTGCTGAGAGTGGGGAGGAGAGGGAAATGTTAGTACTAAGTAGGAGTGCCAAAATAATAATGAAACGATCTTACCTCTGCTATTTCTTAATGACTAAGAAATACCTCCATTCCAGCGTTGTTGGGATGCTGTTCCAATCCAATAAGCCCAGCCGCCTCCAAGTCCTTTTTCCACCATCTCCAACGATGAGGTCCCGGCAAAGAGAAAACAGAGAAGATTAGACAAACAAAAAACAATAGAACAAAAAAAACTATTACAATAGATGTGCTGAGAGTGGGGAGGGGATGGAAATGTTAGTACTTAGTAGGAGTGCCAAAATAATAATGAAACGATCTTACCTCTGCTATTTCTTAATGATTAAGAAATACCTCCATTCCAGCGTTGTTGGGATACTGTTCCAATCCAGTAAGCCCAGCCGCCTCCAAGTCCTTATTCCACCATCTCCAACGATGAGGTCCCGGCAAAGAGAAAACAGAGAAGATTAGACAAACAAAAAACAACAAAACAAAAAAACTATTACAAGAGATGTGCTGAGAGTGGGGAGGGGAGGGAAATGTTAGTACTTAGTAGGAGTGCCAATATAATTATGAAACGATCTTACCTCTGCTATTTCTTAATGACTAAGAAATACCTCCATTCCAGCGTTGTTGGGATGCTGTTCCAATCCAATAAGCCCAGCCGCCTCCAAGTCCTTTTTCCACCATCTCCAACGATGAGGTCCCGGCAAAGAGAAAACAGAGAAGATTAGACAAACAAAAAACAATAGAACAAAAAAAACTATTACAATAGATGTGCTGAGAGTGGGGAGGGGATGGAAATGTTAGTACTTAGTAGGAGTGCCAAAATAATAATGAAACGATCTTACCTCTGCTATTTCTTAATGATTAAGAAATACCTCCATTCCAGCATTGTTGGGATGCTGTTCCAATCCAGTAAGCCCAGCCGCCTCCAAGTCCTTATTCCACCATCTCCAACGATGAGGTCCCGGCGAAGAGAAAACAGAGAAGATTAGACAAACAAAAAACAATAGAACAAAAAATCTATTACAAGAGATGTGCTGAGAGTGGGGAGGAGAGGGAAATGTTAGTACTAGGTAGGAGTGCCAAAATAATAATGAAACGATCTTACCTCTGCTATTTCTTAATGACTAAGAAATACCTCCATTCCAGCGTTGTTGGGATGCTGTTCCAATCCAATAAGCCCAGCCGCCCACGTCCTTATTCCACCATCTCCAACGATGAGGTCCCAGCAAAGAGAAGACAGAGAAGATTAGACAAACAAAAAACAACAGAACAAAAAAACTATTACAAGAGATGTGCTGAGAGTGGGGAGGGGAGGGAAATGTTAGTACTTAGTAGGAGTGCCAAAATAATAATGAAACG